AAAATAATAAATTCATGGGAAAAGTTTAGTAACTGTTACCCTCCTTCAGTATGCTTTAGTCTTTGCCTTGCTTCTCTTTATTCTCTTTTTTTTTTAAAAATTCGGTAAGAAGAAAATAAAATAAGAGTTAATTTTATTTTTTTTGTGTACTCTAAGAGAAAAACATAAAAATACTAAATATTATGTAATACATCCCTGAGAACGGCATCAAAATTTAACATGACTTAGTCATTGTATAGTAAATCATACAAATTTAAAATTTATAAAACTAAAAAATATGAATTTTTAGATATTTAGAAGTATTTTTGAACAAATATATCAATTATAATTTGATAAAACTTCCAAAATAGTGATAATTTTCCAAGTCGATCATAGGGATGTAATGTAATATTAGGTAATTATTCAGATTTGTTTTCAAAGAATACTATTTTCTATGAATTGTACACTAGAAAATGAAAATGAAATATTAATTAAAATTCATGAAAAAGGAAAATAAGGGTGTAGACATCAGAATGACGTCAACACTTGGCGAACGTGAATTGGGTAGAAACAAAGTTCTCCCTAGTGATTCTTACATAAGTGATTACAGATAATTTAATTGATCAAATTAAGATCTGTAAAAGTCGGAAGAACCGTAATTGAATGAAATATATCTTGGTAAATTTAAATCACACAAATTATCACTAAGTGAAGTGAAAAATAAGTTGAAAGTAGGAAAATAGAGTTCTAGCATCGCGGCGGTGATGCGTTGGTGGCACCGAAATCCTAAGTGTTTGGGAGGATCATTGTATAGTGTCCACGGCCTCGAAAGCTCTCCTTAGACAAAGACGACATGAGCAATTTCTAGATCTCCTTGTGAAGTCTAGAGGTCAATGAAATGGGTCGTCGAATCATCTCCGGTGACTGTCACCCGGTAGAGCAGAGAATTGGTGACTTTGCAGCTGTCTGGCGGCTGTCACCCGATGGAGAGGAGTTGGATGGACGTGGGGCGCATGTTAGGGAGCTTCATCCTCAAGTCCACACAGCAAGAAGAGGCTCTTCATTGCGTCTGGTACGCTCTCAAGAGGTAGCGACTTGTCTCCTAACAGATCATCCTCTTCCCGACGACAGCTTGTTCGTCAATCAATTAGAGATGCTTTACTCGATAGATTCGTGATCCTTTTATTGTAAATCGTTTAGCCATTTTAGTAACAATGCTTCGCAAATCGTGTTGACAAGATTTTTGTCGATGATCCAACGACTTTTGTGGCTTAATCCTTCACTTGTGATCTGAAGGAAAGTCACGATAATTAGATAAAAAATATGAGAGAGATTGCCGGCTTATATGAGAGAGATTGACATAAGTACTCTAATGCCCTTATTTAATGACATCATCATAGTATATCTCTATTATAAATAAGGGGTATTTTAGGTATTAAAATTATCAAAGCCTTTATGGGGAAGGTGTGATACAGGTTTAGTCCCACATCGCTTGTGCGCTGAAGTTTTGGGTGAACATATAGTAATATTACATTTGCAAGCAAGTCCATTTCTCACATGTGTACGACCACTCCTTGCCGTACAACTAGCTGGCCACTAGTGACGTGAAAGGGGAGTGGCATACATGTGTCCCTATCGGTCCTAGCCACTCGAGCCCCTACTCACGGCGACTCCCCAGTTGTGCTTTCAACTTGCTTGCAGGCCCGAGTGGCCGGTGGGTCCTCCCCATTTTGTTATATTTTTATTTTTATTTATTTTTCTTTATTTATTTCAAAAGTAAGACTATAAAAATTATATAAATTTGTATAAAATCACATAATTACCCAAAACTTCACTTTAATCAATTGAAAATCACTTTTCACATTATAACATAAATATAAGTCTATTAATCATGAGTTAAGGTGAAAACTATATTATTTACTAATTATTAACTCATGATAATGAAGACTTATCAAGAGTGCCACGACTAATTCTTAGAACTATCACCAATTTGAAGTAAACACTGATCCACCACAATCAGCTTCAGCAAGTAAAGTCTTCCTTTGGATCTGTGCACCTTAGCAAAGAGATGACCATTTCGATCAAAAATAGTCAAGTTACCCCCTTGCATCATCATGTGACAGCCTTCTTCATCAAATCAGCAGCGACTGAGAATGCTGGCCGCTATTTAAGGTACAAATAGCACATTGGAAAGTCAAAGAAGTCTACCATCTTTCTCATTAATTAGAATATTGCCGCATCCTTCAATTTGGACCCTCAAATTATCTCCCAATTTGACAAATTCAGATGCAATCTTATCTAGAACTTCGAAGAAATTTTGACGATTAGACATATGATTCATCACTCTAGTATCAAGATACCAGAGATTGGGATTAGAGAGCTTACCCTCGGATCCTTGAAGTAGCAAACTATCATGTTCCTCCACAATGGCTATAAGAAGAGAAGATTCCACAGCCAAAGTAGAAGAATCAACCATATATGTTCGTTCCTCCTTCCCCTTCTTCATGTTTCAACACTTGTAAGCAAAATACCCATATTTTTCATAATTGTAGCATTGAATTTGTGATTTGTCATAATATGTCTTTGTATTTTCAGGAGGTGGTTGTTGACCACGGCCACAGCCTCTACCGCTTCTCCTACTTTGGCCACAATGTCTGCCTCATCTACGAGATGAGGGCTCCTCTTCACTCGGGAACTTGGTTTTGCTTAGCACGCGGGCTAGCAATGCTTGCTCCTCCTCCTGTGACTCCCAGTCCTTGAGCCACAGCTCATGGACACTCAAAGAGCCAATGACTTCGTCTAGCATTGTATTTGCAAGATCAACATATTGCTCCAAAGATAGGGTGAGTGTGTCAAACTTTGATGGCGTCACCCTCAAGAATCAGCACACAACATCCTTCTCCTCTAGTGTCTCACCCAAATTGTGAAGCTCAGAAACAATCTTCGTGAATTTCATCACAAAATCCACCACTTATTTATCTTTTCCACATCGTGAGAATTTCGTACTCACGTTTTAAATCTTGAATTCTTAACTATCACCCTATCCACACAAAGATTTTGAGACTTGAGGATGTCCCAGTTTGCTTTTTGCTGTCTTCTTAGTGTCAAGAAACACAGCATCTCCTCCAGTACTACTCCGAAGATTGCTGAAAGAGCACGACTTTCTCTCTTCTTAGGGACATTATCTCCTTTGATTGCCTGCAATAAATCATGTGAGTCCAAGAATACCTTCATCTGCATTACCCATACATAGTAGTTCATCTTTGTGAGCATTAAAGATAGCGACGGCAAGGTAATCTCCACTCCGTGCTCACTTGCATCATCTCCCTTATTTGGCACCATCTTCTTGATCCCGTGAACTGAAAGGCTCTGATACCACTTGTTGGTTTCATAAAGTCAAGAACAACCTCAAGTACTTCAAAATCAAAAAGGAAATAAGAAATTGGAAGTAGAATCAAGAATGCTCAATTGAATACAAGAACTGAAAAATACAACACACATTTCATCGAACACAGTCTCTTATTTATAGAGACCCAATAGGAAGAGGAGAGAGGGTGAGTCTAACAGCTGTTGGATGAGTTGGTACCATTTCTCATGTGGCCACTTATCCGCTGTTATAACTCTTAATGATGTGTGGCCTAGATTAAGCTTGCAAAAAAAAAATAACAACCAAGATATAGAAAAAAAAGCTCCCAAATCGCTGCTGCCAAAGAGTTCATCAAGCAACAATTTCCTACGGAGTTGGAGCAATTCCTTTAGATCAATGATGTGTTCCTCATAATAGAACAAAACATTGGTTCAAAATCTGATTTCTCTGACTTAGAGCTATGAATGTAGAATGATTATTTGCGTGCTAATCCATATTGCAAACTGAATGTTTTAAATCTTGAAGAGGATTTCAAGGTGAGTCACTTAATTTGCCTCGAGATTTTAAATCTGTGGTCAATGTGGACTGGGTTTTGTTGAACTAATGAAAATAAGTTTATCAAAAGTATTGACGAAATACATTTCGTAAAATCACTTTGTTCATGAAATGACCAATTCACTTCTGCTCTTGATTCCTCATGATGCCGTGGTATAGTTAACATATCATCCCCCTTTCTACAAAAACCGTTGTTATGCTTCATGATATCTTTGGTTGAACCTTTTTCATAATTTATCACTCTCAGTTAATTTATTAGTGGAGGAAGTATTTCTTTTTCATCACCTATACTTGATCTCCTAGTTGACTAGGTCGATGGCAGCACTTCTCGGCCTCAAGACTTTGAAAATGAAGTTGGAAATCAAGGAGAGGAGATGTCCTCAAATCTTACTCACCTAAAGACACCCAACTTATCTCATCTTTAGGTAAATCTTCACGACATCAAAGATTCAAGCATCTATTTGAATTATATGTAGAGACTCGTCTAGTAGAAGATGAAGATGAAGTTTACAACTTCGCAGCTGAAGAAGAACCTAAGTTAGTTCAAGCTACTCTCAATGACAAAATTTGAAAGAGAGCTATGGAAGAAGAATTTAATCAAATAAACAAGAATCATACCTGGATTTTAGTCACACGACAAGTAGGATGCAACCCTATTAGACTCAAGTGGGTCTTTAAAGTCAAGAAGAATCCAAAAGGAGAAATTCTCAAACACAAGGTGCAACTAGTGGTGAAAGGCTATGTGCAAAGGTATGGAGTTTATTTACTGACGTGTTTGCACCTGTAGCAAGGCTTGAGACAATTCGGGTGCTTCTAGTTGTCTCAGCTCATTTCAACTGGAAAATTCACCATATGGACGTAAAATCTGCTTTTATCAATGGAAAAATCAGTGAGGACATATATGTGAATCAACTGCCTAGATTTGAGGTCAACAGGAAGGAGAAGATGGTTTATAAGCTGAAAAAGGCTCTCTATGGCCTGAAACAAACACCAAGAGCTTGGTACTCTAAATTAGACAAGAGTCTCATCTCATTGAGTCTAATTAGGACCAACTTTGAGCCTACAATCTACTTCAAGAAGAAAGAGAATTCTCACTTACATGTGGGAGTATATGTTGATGATTTACTCATCACCAGAAATATTGAAAAGCAAAATTGAAGATTTCAAGTTAAAAAAGGCCAACATGTTCGAGATGTTTGATATGGGCCTGCTCTCGACGTATTTGGGCATTGAAGTATGTCAAAACTAATAAATTTATCTCACTCTCACAAAAGCTGTTTGAACTGAAAATTCTTAAGACATTTGACATGATGAATTGTAATTCATCAGTTACTCCTCTTGAAGTAAGACCCATCATGAATTAAAAGGAAGAGACTCAATAAATGTTGCCACTTACAAAAGTTTAATGGGATCATTAAGGTATGTGACCCATAGAAGACTGAATTTGTCATTTAGTGTTGGTTTTCTCAATAGATTTATGAAAAATTCATCAGCTGAACATCTCAAGTGCACTGAACATGTACTGAGATACATTAAAGGCACCTTGAATTTCAGTCTGAAGTACAAAAAAGAGAAGAATTTTGTACTTGCTGGCTTCTGTGATAGTGATTATGGAGGAGATACAGAGGAGAGAAAGAGCACGTCAAGCTTTTGTTTCTTTATTGACAACAGCCCTATGACATGGGTTTCACAAAAGCAAAGAATTATCGCCCTATTATCCTGTGAAGTTGAGTATATCTCACTCCTTTGGCAACATGTCAAAGTGTTTGGTTGGTTGAATTTCTCAAAGAGTTAACTGGAATCTACCTCAAATCAGTTAAGATACAAGTTGATAATGTCTCTGCCATTGAGCTCACAAAGAATCCAGCATTTCACAGTCGATCGAAGCACATAAAAATTCACTACTATTATGTGCGCAATTATGTTGAAGATGGTGAAGTTGCAGTCGCTTATGTGTTGACGGAAAGAAAAAGGGCAAACATTCTCACAAAGTCTCTTGCAAAAGTTAAATTTGCAGGATTTTTGAAGCTGTTTGGAGTAGAAGATCTGACGAAATAGCAGCAAGCCTAAGGAGGTGAATGTTTGAATTAATCTCGCTACCGTCACAAAGGTGGAAGGCATTCACGGGAGTTCCGCTTTATCTTACGTTTTTCCTTGTATTTCTTTCTTTTGAACGTTTCAATCTCAGCCATTATAACTCCATAATAAATGGTTGAGATTGTGCTAGGATAATAGCAGCTAAAATAACTGCCATAACGGCCTTACTGCATAAGGTGTTCGATTTGGTCCTATAAGAGGATTTGTTTGGGGTCTGATTGCACAGGCTGATTGATTTCTCCAACTTCTAGTTTTATAGATTTGAGAGTTTTGTTTTTTCTCCATTCTTCTTGAGCGCTTGTGTTGCTATAAAGAGTCATAAAGTTAGATTCTTCAAAAAAGAGAAAAAGAGCCCATCAGAGAATACAAGAGGAAAATAGGTAACCTGAGCAGCAGGCAAGTCCAAGGGCTGGGGTTTTGAATTAAAGCAATAAATTTATGCCAAGATCTATGTTGCTTTGCCAGGGATTCACTCGCCTCGTTACAAAATCATGCAACGGGCAGGTCAGCACTACCATTTGAATCTTCTCCTTTGCAGTCATCAGGATTTCCTGCAGCCATGGGATGCCGAGCATTGCATTCATCTCCCCTCGTCCAGCAAAGTGAAAAGGGTTGAAACTGGTAAATTCGAGATTACCACATAACATGGAAGAACAGGTGCTGTGAAATAACATAAATTCCCATATGTATCCAAAATAGGGAAGGTCAAAAAAGATTATGCGACAGCCAGGGAATGAGCAGCAAAATCTACACAGAATCCCCAGAAGGTCGTATCAGCACATATGTTGCAAGCCAAAGGTGGTTCTGGGGCTATGAATACGATTTGGATACGATCAAAGTAATTTTCTTTGAGATTATAATATTACCGACTTTCTAAGTATGGAAGGGAACTCACGTCATTTGCATCGATAGTTCCCCCACAGACTATGTGGCATGAACGGTAAAGGTTCTCTAGGCTCAACGAGGCTAGAGATGTACTTGAGCTTACAAGCTTCAGGAGATAACTTTGTTTCTGTACACGAAGAGATTTGCATTGTTCCTTCATCAACCTGTTCAAAAAACTCGTCGCCTCTAGTTTGAGTTTATCAGGCAAGTCCCTAATGTATGCTTAGGACTCCAATATGTTCAGTCCAAATCAAACAACACTCTTACTCTGCGAATGGTACAAGGAAAACTTAGGGCTCTTTGACAGAAACTAAGCGACTGAATTGGACCGGCGACAGATTGCTTGAAAAAGCTTCTTATCTCACGGTGGCCAGCGCTTCAGATTGCATGAAATAGATTGTCTCATGAACATTGTGATAGAAGGAGACCTTTAAGATTTTCAGATTCTTGATGAGACATCTTTGGAGATAGCCATTGAGCGATGTTTTGATGGTTGTATCAACTAATATGTGAAAGACAGTACAAGGTTAAGGGAAAGTGTAAGGAAAATATATTAGCCAAGTATCTGATCTAACTAGAAAACTATTTGTTGAGCTGAAGATACCATGTGTTAAATGTTGCCATATCATCATGAGAAACTATCATTCTTACGCATTTTTTAATGATCAAACAAGGGATTTGATGTATCAGGAAATCAAATACATGACAGAGAAAAAGAAGAGAAACCTTCCGACGACACTGGTGAAATACATAGAGAAGGTAAAGAATCCATATAACATCTACCCATCTTGGCCAGCTATGCAATGGAAGTAATATTCCTGGAAGCGTCAGTCCTCAGGAAACCTGTCAGGAAAAGTGATTTTTTATTTAGATTCAAGAAACGGTGGCCAAGGTTCCCACCCCCCGCTTCGATCTCCACAACAATGTCAACTTTTGGTTCACCGTAAGATTGAGTTCTGACGGCCGTGATGTTTCTAAAATCATCACGAGCATGGGCACGGCATTCATACCCACGCTCTAGTTGAGGCCTCTCCTTGATTCCATGCGTCATTGTGCAAACGCGTCTCAATCCATGGCCTGTTGTCCAAACAAACTAGTGCGGTTCTACTTGAGAACAATTTATCTCCGCTATTTGCTAATCTTTTCTTTTGCCATCTCTGCTTCTTTGCTTTAGATCGTTTTTGAATTCTTAGATTACAAAATATTGTGAAATTATCGAAGGCGATCCGGTTGGAGAGTCAGAACTGGTCACTGGGGAACTAGGGACGAGAGAAGGGTTCTAGAGTGGGCCTTTAAGCTGTGGAGAATGCCAAGGATGAGAGAAGAGTTCTAAAGTAGGCTTTTAAGCTGTGGAGAATGCCACATCAGGCAGGTCCACTATGCTTCTCGCCAACAATTTATTTCTTCACTGCTAACCGCCAAACCTGTCCACTACACCGCTCATGAACATCGTGGGTAGATGACACATTAGTCGGCGAAGAATGGACGACAGTTTATGGGCACAAGAGCAGTGTGAAAACGCAGCAGAGCATTCAAGTTTGACAATGAGTTGGACGAAGCCATAAAGTCTTGGCCTATCTTTTTTCTTGGTTGAGTTGGATATTTCCTCGGACGGGGCCCGACCTAGAGCATGGGTCAGGGGTTAAGTACAGGCGTAGTCAGGGACTGACTCATAAGTCCAAAGGCCCGACTTTTCTAACCCTCCTGCCCATGGCATCATTGCCCTGCTTCCCCACTTTTCCTCTCTGTCTGTTGCCATAATACCGCACAGCTTGCCCTTCCAGCTTGTTCTTCAATGAAAAATTCCTGAATGCTTGCTGCAGTTAGGTTAGTTGGTGTGGTTTACGAGGCAAACGTCTCCCTCAATTTAACTGTCCGACCCTGGATAGCGCCACCTAAAATGCAGGCTATGACATAGCTTCATTTGATGGAATTAGAATGGGGAAATTCCCGGTCATAGTCTCATTGAGACTTTTCTTTAGCCTCAACGCCTCACCCACATGGAAGGAGGGTCGCTCAGCACGAGAAAGGGGCTCTAACAACTTACTAGTAGAGCAGCCTGCGGACAACAACCCGACGGGCCTGGAATCGGGCGTCGCAACGATCGGTCCATTAGGAGGCGAACTGGATACCACAGCTACAGCTGCAGAGACTACTACGGGCTGTTGAAGCCAGAAACCTGCGACTATGGGCTGAAACGGTCGAGAGATAGGAAGATAACCGAGGCGATTATAAGAAGAATCCAGGCCCGTCTGCGACTTTATGTATCCTTTCGCTGACGCGTCTCAATCCTTCGCAAATTAAGCAAGCTAGCGGAACCGAAGATCAATTAAGGTATTGTTAAGCCAATTTATCCGCCTTCGAATTGTGAAACTCAGCACCACCATCTATCCAGTTTCTTTGCCCGGCATTCCACTTTTTTTCTCCAACTTTCGAGCAGTGGTCTCTTGGAGCACCTTCCTCAATCTGCAGCTCCTACGCCCGCCCGCAAAAATAGTAATCAATTTGACTAATCCTGTAGCGTTCGCCTCATAGGTTTCGTGATGACCCTTACAACCGCATCTTGTACTAGAGACCTAGTGGAGCATGTACCCAAGCTCCACCACCAAAGATCACGACGTCAGTGGACTCCACATCATCTCCTCCAGCAACCACACCAACTGTCGAAGTCACCCCACGTCACCACCGCCAAACCCAAGTGAAGGATCCGAATTTCTATTATTACTAGGCTTTATTGTGTTTAATTTCCCATTATTCATTTATGTTATGTTGTTATTCTCTCTCTCTCTCCTCTCGAGGCCTATAAATAGGCCTAAGATCTCTATGAAACAGCTTGGCTAATCTTTGGTTAAGAATTATCAAACACAAAGACTGTGCCCTAAGGGATCTATGTGACTACTGCCGCCTGTAGCTGCTGCCATTGTGCGGGTCCCACCCTACCTCGTGATCAACTCTTCCCCTCTCATCGGTGGCCAGACGCTCGATGACATGCTGACGATCTTCCATTGGAGTGCTGGCAGTGCGTTGCATACATACCTCCCACGGATGTTCGTGCACCAAGTCCCTCTTGTGCAAAACCAAGGGTCCTGCACACCAAGCAGATGTGCCATGGCACCCCACCCTACACGCCGGTCTCCAGCCCTCGACATCAATTGTGTGCACCCTACACTACCTCAAACCCTACAAGGGGACGATTTACTCCCTTGACCCCTCCACCAACTAACTATGTAGTTGGATCCATGACGAGCTCATCGTCCTCTACTCTACCATCAACATCAACATTGTAGTGTACAAATACTGAATGTCCCCTCTCAATCCCTTCTAGTGATCGTGTGTTGTGATTTCATCTTGTCTGATAAGTCTTCATTATCATAAGTTAATAATTAGTAAATAATATATTTTTAACCTTAACTTATAATAAATAGATTTAAATTTATGTTAAATTATGAAAAGTAATTTTTAATTAATTAACATGAATTTTTGACTAATTATGTCATTTTCTATAAATTTATATAATTTTTATAGTCTTATTTTTGAGATAAATAAATAAAAATAAATTAAAATAAAAATATAGCAAAAGGAGGGGACCTGTTAGTCAATTAAGGCCTACAAACAAGTCGGAAGCATAGTCAAGGAGAGCTACAAGTAGAGGTTCGAGCAGCTAGGACTGATGGAGGCATGTGTGCGCCACTCTCCTTCCACATCATCGGTGGCTAGTCAGTTGTGGAGCAAGGAGTAGTCGTACACGCAAGAGAAAAGAACTCATTACTTGCAGACATGATATTACTATATATTTTCTCAAAACTTTGGCAC